GAAAGTAAAAAATTTAAAGTACATGCTACATGTTGGGTATAGGTACCATTTGTCGAACAAAAACTTTTCCGATATCGCACTTGGTAGATTCGAAGTACTAGAATAAAAATATCAATCGTGTGTATTTCGAAATGTTTAGCTTTCTCAAAACTAATAGTTTTCTACAGATTCGTAATCGTTATCAAAACTCGCATATTAAATAAAAGCAAAAAGTACTACAGACAAAGAGTAGTTTGCACTATCTACAGCATTTTCTGTGTGAAGATATTTTTATAATCATGCCACGCATGACAACATACCTATAAAATGAACCTTTTAAAAATAGGCTACTGTTCTCTCATTACCAATTTCAATTACTTATAACAAACGATAAATTTCGTGCCCTGCTTGGTTAACGTTACTCGTTAGTACCTTAACATATTGCTCCACATAAGGGGTTGTATACGAAATCAAATAATTTTTGTTTATTTTGTAAATCAGCATAAACTACGTTATTGCCAAATTGATGATAATGATGGGAACATTCTTCTAAGGCTCCGTACAAAGGAAAATCAATCACCTGGAAAATGAGCTTTTGCAAATATCGGTGGTTCATTGACCTTTACAGTTACTATATACAGGTCAGTTAGCGAAAGCGATTTAATTCGTTTAGAAATAGTAAATGAGTTGATTGAACAATAAATAAAACAAGCGTTGTGATCATTAGCGATAGAATAAATAAAAACTACAAAAACGGACTTTTTATAATTATCTAAGTATTTAGTCGCGAACAAGTTTTTTAATAAGCCTAATCGGCTTCCACAATCTTATCCATTAGAAAGCGTTTTTTGTGCATCATTAAACAGGCCGATCATTTTAATGTAGCAGAAGTTTCTTTTTGTTTGCCTAATTGTAATCGAAATAATGTTTTGGGATTCATCCATGAAAGATGCTACTTTATTTACTCTTCAGTTGCGTGATAATTTGTACTTATAGCGTAAGGTTAATCATTATTTTCATAGGGATCATCAGGAACATCTAGCAACTTTGTAACTTGCGTAATACTACTGGAACAAATACGTGGTAAGAACACAGAAAATGAAGAGATTTGGAAACTATCGAAATGGGGCCATTAAGAAAAAATCCCGTCAAATCTATAGATCATCTAGCTTTTCTTAAACATATAAAAACAATAATACTGATGTTAATGTTTATTATAATAGTTAAAAAAAGGCTTTCTAATGTAAAATTTAGACGTGTTCTAGCGGTAACCTTTCAGAGCAAATAGTGTGATCAGTAAGCTGTGCTTGCTGAAATGTTGGCTAGTGTTCTAGTAATGCAAGTTCTGAAATTTGGCTCGAGAAATACCATAAATAAAATACACATAGTTGATACTTTACATTATCTTTTGTTCTGTTTAAATTAATAATATCCAAACTCTTGTTCAACAATAAAAAAAAAAGAAAAAACAGAGCATCAATGTAACATTTTATTAATATTGATGTGAAATATTATTATGAAAACTTAACAATTAATGATTAAGTTGGTAGTTAATTGGCACTCAATACAGTTACATTTATTTGTAAATGATTCCCGGAGCTATTGTATTAAAATCTATGTGTGGTATAAATCTGTACTAAATGATTTGTATAAAAATTCGGAACTAGATCTGTTAACATGTTACACATTCCTTTTCTGTATAATAAGACACTTATAGAATATGTGTAAACAAATCCGTGATAAATTATGTGTATGGAGTACTACTATTATTCTTATTTAAAGCTTTGTTTATATTTGACCACCATTGAAAACCCTGGAACTGGAACATAAAAAATAAATCTATGCACAAAAAACAATTTTAATCGGTGATAGCACAATTCAACACTATTTAAAAGTAATATAAAAATATAACTATACGTTTAACTGCAAAACCTTAACAATCCAATAAATCGTCGATTATTTTCCAATAGTTAAAAATTGCTTGGCAAGAATACAATCAATTCAATATTGTGGCTAAAGGCAAAACCGTTCAGTACAGACAACAACAATCAATGTGTAACACGTCAACTTTAACAACTGTATCTATATCTATTGTATTGTAAATTACATATTCTAGTGATACTGGAAGTGAGTGGCCCTGAGCTACCAGAAAATGGGTACCTAATTATTAACTAAACTTACATAACCATTTCCAACTGAATCTGTTACAACAGTTATTTATCTGAATATGTGCACTGCTGTATATTAGCAAGAGATATTATTTAGCTTGTTTACATTATTTAAAATTTTAATTCTATTAAAGGAATTGAAAGTAATCACAACTATTCAATTTGCTATTGTATATGTTGTAAATTTCATAATTTCCACATCCATGTTAGGAGTATTTTATTTATATTTCTTGATTATATTAAAAACACAAAAAAATGATAGAAAAAAGTTAATTCCACACAACATATTAGTAAAAATGAATATGTGTTTCATCACAGACTATCACAGATTATATATCTGCAATTAATTCAACCCTTTCTACTTCGAGCAAAATATTTTTGAAATCATCAAATTTAGAAACCGCCTTGTTTCTGAGTGTAGTACATCAGTCACAATCTCTCAAAACAGTTAATCGAACTGCCGATGCAATTTTTCTCCATTACGCAGAACTAGTACACTGAATACCAGTCAAAGAAAACTAGTAAAAACTGAAATAAATACTAAATCACAACGTAAGTACAATTTTATAAGACAAATCAACATTGAATAAAATCTCACTAACACTGCCTTCTTACTACTACTAAAACTTTTAGCACCATCTATAACTTACATGTTTGAATAAAACGGATAAAAAAGACTCGAAGTCTTATACGGGTAGGCACTCCTGTTGCATCATTCCCTCTTAATTTAATGATTACGTTTTCACCAAGAAAAAGTAAATTATAGCTGGTGATTAAAATTGGCCGTTCAGTATTGAGACCCTAAAATACTTTAAACTGTACAATAATATGTAATGTAGGAATCATATTTCTAAAACAAAATTAGTTCGACTTGAAATGCCAGCGTATGTAAAAAATGTGTGGCAAAAGCTAAATAAAAATTTAACTGCGCTCTTCTGCGATTTACTTTAACAGAACGATTTTATGTTTACGTCTGATACAGCCAATTTGTTGATAACCAACTATTTTTACCCTGTGTGTGGCTGACCACTGGCCTCTAGCCGACTTAGGCCACAGGATTTTGATACTAGTCAACTACATTTTGATGAAGAAATAAATATTCTACCACTACATTCACCTATACACAACGATATATATCTCTCTATTAAGGTATAATAAATATACTCTTCACATAGGAAACAAAAAAGCAGTTAATAAAAACTTATGGCTAAAAGTATGGATATCCATATATTATTTCTATTATTGCTATAATTCTACAATAAACAATCTTTATAACTCTAAAGGAACATAGAATGCCGCAGTATTGCTTTAAGGATGGCACTGCGCTCAGGTCAGTGGTCAGCTTTGTTTAACCATGTAGTGCACAAAACAAATGATACGCGGTGAGCACTGTGTACTGAAGGTAACCAACTAAACAAAGATTAGCAATTGAAATACTGCCAGGGTCTATCCTAGTCCATCCCTGTACAATAATACTGCCAGGAGACGTTAAGTTACAAAAAATACCAATACAATTTAAAGAAGCTAACCTGATGGAATGCTAGCTCATCTAATTTCATGGAAGATCATTATACAAATTTACAATTTGTTTTCTATCTAACAAATGAATATTTAAAGCCTGGTAGCCCGAAAATCCTCTGACTCGCATCACAGTTAGCACTTGCCGAAAACACTTATAAGTTAATTCTATCACAGCTCTTACAGTTGCCCTTTAATAAGGTATAAATATTTCATTTTAGTTAACTTTTAATGGCTACACTCTGGCGGGCTACCCGACTACTGTTATTAAGTGATTGCTAATGTGACAAATGTATTATAAAAAATTTGGTGAACAATTTAATATAATATTGTACAATAATATGTGTTTGTTATTTATAATTAACTAATATAGTACATAAGCTTAACTATAAAGCATCAGTCTAAGGAACTATATTGAGGGCACTAGTGTGGGCTTTCTTCTTTCGCGTCCAAAGGGCTCGGTGATAAGAAGTTTCGAACGTATTTTGGAAAATGTGTTTTTTCGTGCGCTTTTAGTATGGTCGAACGCGAAAAAGTTTTACCGCATAGAGCACATCGAAACGGCCTTTCACCTGTGTGCACGCGGCAATGGTCTTTCATATGATGCCTAAGTTTGAAAGCTTTCCCACAAAATTCACATTTAAACGGTCGGTCTCCTGTATGCACCGGCAAATGAGCAATTAAAGAACTTACATCGGGAAAAGATTTCCCACAAAATTTACACAATACAACACCCGCACCGTCACCAGATAGCTCCAAGTCCATTGGAGTCGACGGATGGTCCGTAGCTTCCGCTGCCTCTAAATGCGAGATCGGAACCCTACCACTAAAGTGCGATTCCATCAGGTGCAAGGGTTCCGGTAAATTTAAACTCGTGGGATGTTGCAGTTGTTCGCGATACTTTAACGTTTCTAAACTATGAGATAGTATGTGTCTCGTTAACTTGCTTTGGTGTGGAAACGAAGCTCCACAGTACATACACGGATAAAGTCGAGGCGAGTCGTCATCTCCACGATCGAGATCCTGCAACCAAACAAACTGACATCAACTTCTTGCCGTTTATTCACAAAACATGTGGCTACCCTGTAATACTACTACAAGAAGTTGACGCTCATTTGTTTGGCTGAAGGAGTGGAGGATACCGCTGCCCCTGTTCATCAAATTTTACAAATACTTGCACAAACAGCGTATTCCAACAAACGAAAACAAAAATGTCCTAAGCCAAAATGAATGTCAACTTCTTGACAGTACATTTGAAAAAGTTTATACAATTAACAACCTTTCCATTACCTACTGCTAACTAAAGAGAAAGCTAGTACATGAAAAGAAACATACCGAATCATGAGGATGTCTTGAATACTCCGAGTAGTTTTCTATGGAACTCTTCTTGTCTTCGGTCGCACCACCTCCCCAGTCCACTTCTTTTTTTAACGACTGGAAAAGAAAGTAAAATAAGTATCAAAAACTTCGTTGAGAAAAAGGTATCACCATATTGATGCAAATTTATAAAATAAAACACAGCGAGAAAGATGCGCTAGTTAGTTATGGATATGAAATTCAAATGTGATTTGTATTAACTCTTCGAGTCCCAACTTTGATGTAGTATTGTAATATATTCTCCCCAACACGGCGGAGGGACCATTTTGTTCTTGATTGTCATGGATTTCCGACAACATTTCTAAAGTTTTGTAATATTATTTATGTCTTACCTACTAACCTATCATAGCACAATTTATATCTTTGATACGCGGGCATAAAGTACCACTTTATGCCCTAGGGCATTAAGTATCACCATAGTAACTCATTTATACTTAATGACAACACAAACAAATATTTGCAAGTCATTGAAAATTAGAAACGTCAATTATTAATTGTCAATACCTACTAAATCACAAGATTGCCTTTATTTCGTATAGTTTCTGGAACTTCTTGCTCATTCACGATGAATTGAATTATTTAAAATTACGTTTGACGTTTGGATGGTTTCAATAGTAACTATAGTTTCAATCACATTAACAAATTCGAACCACGCATACTCGATCAAACATAATGAATTATTTTGTAAACGAATTTTGACGAAGAAAACCATTTGTAAAACATAAAATTGTGTATGTACCACGGGCATAAACTGATGTTTATACTCTCGGGCGACTAAATAGGCCATAGGCCCTCGAGCTTTTTAACTCATCGCGCTCGAGAATATAAACATCACTATTATGCCCTTAATACATAAATAACTATTGTTTTTTCAGATACCTTTCCTGCATTTTTTCGTCCTCAAAATGGCGACTATTGCGGTACCTACTCTGTCAATTACGAACTCTCCATAATAATAGGGCGTCAAAATTTAAACCGAGCGCCAAGTATGACGTGAAGTGGGTAAAACCACTTAGAAATTTTGTATACACAGCATTGAGCATAGCGATGGTCTAACACCTACTTAACTGTCACACCATTATTTTTTGTAAACGTTACGTAACGGTAACACCACCGCTGAAACTATAAATTTACATGCCTCTTTTAATTTAGGATTCCTACCATTGAATTTTAGAAGATAATTAGCTGTTAATTTATAGTGTTATATTGTGCTAAAAAAACCAAACATTTTAAAGAGCAACAAATTCGAAATAAAATCAACATTTAATTGCGTCGTACGACATTAAACAAATTTCGATACCTATTTTATAAAAACAAAATATTTTATATTTTTTGTATAACATATATCCCCCAGCATTATTTGGAAAATGGATCTTGTTTTTACGTTAAAATTCCGGTTCACGTTCAATGATTTTGGAGTTAATCACGTAGCATTAAAAGCGAAACATGGAAATGTGTTCGCAAAGGATGAAATCGGACAAAAACAGTTTCTTATTTTATTTTTGTAAGCACATATAAATTATTTCTGTTGAGGATCACTGTAATTTTTTTTGTTTGGGGTTCACTGTATTTTATAAATCGTATTGTATTTCATCGTGGTGATTTATGATTCTTGAGGCGAGTTTGTAATGTGCGTTTGTTTACTTTTTTCTCGAAGCCCAAAGGCTAGGGTTAATAAATAAATAATAAATAGTAAAACAAAAGTAACGAAAGCAATCCCAACCAACCTCATACCGTAATAATACCGCGAAATTCTGAAAGAAAGTTTTGTTTGATTGTAGGATTGCTATACCTTGTAATTTTATAAATGTGCAAAAATGAAAATCTAAAAAAACTACTGTTGTGAGGCGATTATTATCACTTGTACAACTGAGATTACAAAGTACGAGTACTATGCAACGTTGACACGTCATTCTTCTACTGAGGAATAGAATTTCTCAATTCTCCACATTCGCTATTAAAAATGGAAGCTCTCACGCTCAAACCGTTTGAGATCTAGACATGAAAATGAAAACGCTTACATTTGAAATTATTTCCATATTTTGAGGTGAAAAAGAATTTTTTATACAGGTGTTTGAGTGCGGCTGCCATCTTGAATTTTTACTTTCCGACTACATACGAAGTATGTTAGTATGTAGAAGTATGTACCTATAAAGGAAAGTATTGTAATCGTGTTAAATTTTCGGTATGCCAATATTGCGTTTTCTGGACGTTTTGAAGCATACAAACCCAAAAATAGTATATTAAGAAGATACAAGTGTATAATCAAGTCTTCAAAGCACGCGCAACGAGTTTAATGGCACGACGCGAAGCGGAGTGCCTTCAACGTTGCAAGTTCTTTAAAAACCAATTATACACGTGTATCTTATAGTATTTTTTATTATATCTGCAGTATAACTTCATTTCAATGCTTTTCTAAATAAGAAAGTTGGAAATGCGCATGCGCAAACCTAAATTTTGAAACTAATGTTAGATTTTCCTTTGTTCCAAGCGCCTAAGTATTAAATTTCACTTAAATGTTCCATAGAAAAAAATTGGCACTGCGCATGCGCAAAATAAAATTTTGAAACTGGCGTTAAGATTTTCCTTTATCAAATTTCATTCTAATACTTGTATAAATAAAAAAGTTTGCAATTCGGTTGAATCGACTCGACTCAACTTTTGGCATTGCGTATTATACGGCTAAAGCTATGCCCATATTGAATTTCATGCAATTCAGTTAATTAATAACTAACGGAGATGTAAAAGCGATCGGACATTTCTATACAAAGTTATCGTTCACACGGACAGATAGAGGGACAGACAGACAAAGGAACAGACGGACAGACCAACAGACAAACAGCAATACAAAATTCTCTAGGATCGTTAATAAACGGCAAAAGTGTAAAATTATGGAACATGTAAAAAACGGTTTGTTGGTTTTTTTTACAATAACATTTTTAGCAATAAACGCAGAAAGAATTCCTTCCTTGGTGCAAGCCTCGACACCATAAAGAACCAAATACCGAAAAAAGTAGAACAATAGCTAGTAGCGTCTCATAGAACGAGCGGACGGACGGACGTCCGGACGGACAAAGTGGCCACAATAGCGCATTTTTTTTATTTTTGTGGAAATGCGCTAAAAATAGGAAATACAAGGAAATCATATTGACGTTGTACTCGAATACATGTCTTAATTAGGTGGGCTGGGTGTTCGTAATTTCACGATAGCCATGGAAATGTCACTTGACGTTTGCTTATAAAAATTATCGTCTTTATGAATAAAACTATTTCCGTTGAAAAAGACAATACACCGTCTATTAAATCGCTTGTTGTAAAATCTAAACAAACGTTGATGGTAGGTATAAAATCCAAATCCAGTAAAGCCTATTATAAAGAATATGAAAAGTTGTTTCCATGGATGAATAGGAAGTTAATTACGAATAAAGTCGTAAATGTATCGATAATGCTGGCATATA